ATAAGGTTGACAAACGAGCACACAGTCCACCTGATGGTAAGTGGTTACTGTGGCCCATAGACATCTACATCAAACAAAATGCAGATGCGTTGTCACCCGTGAGGACTAAGATGGAATGCCTCATTTGCAGTATAAAGGGTCTCCGGTTCTCTACACTCACCATACGAAACACAGCAGCGTTAAGTTGCTATTTGACGCTGGTATTCTGTGAGAGAGTGGTCCTTCCCCGGTCGAGCCGACCCATTCGTGCTACAACTATACTACTAATATATAGCTAGCTGAATAATAGCTGAACCATGGCTGTACCACGTAAAAAACCTTAAAAACTACAGCAAAGTACTATCAAAATGTATAATGTTTAATCTACGTTCAATTTTGCTTGTAAAGGTCATTAGAGGCTGTATTAGATGCTTTTACTGTCTGTCGTCCGCGGATTGCGTCCGTCGGACCATTAAATGAAATGGCGGGCGGCACTTTCACTAAATTGCAATTTGCAACGTTTTCTTATTTACTTATAGATACATGAAAACAAAAGGTTTATTACAGTAAAAGTCAACGTGACGGTTATACATTCATCACAACCACACCCATGTTCATTATTTCACTACGAAGATCCTGAACTGATTTGAAAAATGTGATTTGGTGATTTAAAATGGTACTGTTATAAATATTACCACATTTACATATGGATATGTGAACTAAAAAGTTTAAGTCTAACTTTGTTGTCCCTCCACCACGTTTTAAACGTGGTAGAGCCACGCTGCAGTTATATTATGGTTGTAGCACGAATGAGTCGGCTCGACCGGGGTAGGACCACACTCTCACAGAATTATTATCGTCATTACAGCTCTTCACAAGTTTAATGCTGAACATAGGCCTCTAAAAGGAATTCCACAAAGCACGGTCCCGACTCGGGACTCCCAAGCCACCTACATCCATTTACTTCCTGCATGTCTTACCAGGTCGTCACTCCATCTAGTAGGGGACGCCCTGTAGGGCAAGTTTGCTCGCCGCTACGAGGCTGCCACTCGAGAACCTTTCTTCCCCATCGGTTGTCGGTTCTTCGAGCTATATGGTCGGCCCATTGCCACTTCAGCTTACTAATCCGTTGGGCTATGTCGGTCACTCTGGTTCTACTGCAGATATCCTCGTTTTTAAGTCTATCACGCAGAGAAACTCCGAGCATAGCCCTCTCCATAGCTCGCTAAGCGACTTTGACTTTCTTCATACGGCCAGCAGTGAAGGACCACGTCTCAGATCATGACTGGCAACACGCACTGGCTGTACAATCTTGTTTTGAGGTATGCCTGACGAGAAGATATGTCATAATCTCCCGAATGCTGCCCATCCGAGTTGAATCCGTCGGTGACCCCTCGGTCGAAGTTGGACTCATTTCCAGCCCAGTAGCTTAAAAATGTCTTCCAATGCAGCGGTGAAGAGTTTCGGCGGATATTACATCATCCTATCTTACACCCCTACGTAATTGGATAGGTTTCGTACTCTGGTTCTGTACTCGGATAGCCATCGTAGCTCTGCTGTACAAACACTTCAGCACTTCGATATACCGACAGTCAACTTGGTATCGCTGAAGGAACTGCAGCACCGCCCAAATTCCGACGGAATCAAAGGCTTTCTCATAGTCTACCTACGCAAAACAAAGTGGCAGACTGTACTCTTCGGTTTTCTGTACAATTTGCCTAAGGGTATGTATGTGGTCTATGGTGCTAAAGCCTTTTCGGAAACCGGCTTGTTCTGTAGGCTGGGAGTCGTCGAGTCTGCGTGCGAGACGATTCGTTAACATAACTCTAAAACAGCACGTAGACGCGGTGCAGAAGAGAAATCGTTTCGTAGTTCTTCAAGAGAGCATTGCCGCCTTTCTTGAAGAACAAGACCACCGCACTTCTGCTCCACGCCTCCTGAGTAGTGCCACCATGGAGGACGGAATTAAAGAGCTTCTGACGAACTTCAAGTACCGCTTTTCCATCTGCTTTCAGAAAAGCTCCTCTGTAATTCGATTCTCGCCCGGGTACTTGCCGTTTTTAAGATGCTGGAGAGCCATTTTAATCTCGCTCAGACTGACGTCCGGGATATCATCGGAATAGTGTCGGATAAGACTTGCTCTTGGATCGTTACTCACACATGCATGTGGCTCCAACGTTGATGTTTACAGCTGCCCATAGAACCTCTCAACCTCACTCAAAATCGCAGATGTCCCGGAAACGATGCTGCCACATTCGGCCTTCAGCTTCGACAGTTGGCTCTTTCTGGCAGACAGATCTCTGGCAAAGACTTTGGAGCCTTGATTCCGCTCGATTGTTTCTCCAATACGAGCTGTATCAATTATTTTTTCTGTGGCTGTATTAAAGTTGTGTAAGTCCTGCCGTATGCATTTGGAGATCTTTCTGTTCCTGTATGATGTCAAAACTATTGAAGACTGCAGCTTCATACCCATATCCGTCTAACAGCAATGAGATTAAGAGTGCGATCGGAGAGTTTTTGTGTTCTTCTGCGACGGGTCTCGCAGAACTTAGCTTCGACCACATGGACAGTTTCCACAAGCTTTTCATACAAATCGTCCACTTCTTTGCAGTCTTCTAGGCACTGAAAACGATTTTGAAACTCGATCTGAAAGTTTTTGTGGCTTTAGATTAGAGCACGACGGGGACGGAGTATTGACTTCATTAGACGTGACCTCTCCAGCTTAACGTTTTAGTTCAGTGTGCCCCGCACCAATTGGTGATCGCTGCCAGTTTTTACCCTCGCGATCACTGAGACTCATCACTGAACAGTTGTCATCTGGTTGTCATAATGAAGTCAATCTCATTTTTTGCAGAACCATCGGGGCTCGATTAGATCCACTTTCTGTGAGACCGCTTCTGGAAGAAAGAGTCCCTCACTCACAGAATATCAGCGTAAAATAGCAGCTCAACACTGCTGTGTTTCGTATAGTGAGTGTAGAGAACCGGAGACCCATTTTATTGGAAACGAGGCATTCAATCTTAGTCCTCAGGGGTGACGACGAATCTTCATTTTGATTCTTAATCGAGGATAAATGTAGATGTATATGGGTCACAGCATCCACTTACCATCAGGTGCACTGTTTGCTCGTTTGTCACCCTTATTCTATACAAAAAAAAAACAACAGTCCACCTGATGGTAAATGGATACAGCAGATACGTTGTCACCAATAAGGACTAAGATGGAAAGCATCACAGTCTGTAACTATACTGACTCTCTATACCCATCAGACCTGGACACAGCAGTACAAGCATTGCTTTTTACAGCAGAAATAGGTAAGAAGATAAGTACCTATATGGTAATGTATTTAAAAGAAAATTCATTTATAATGTCAATTAAAATTCTTTAGCAATCCTATCGCACTTAAAATTTGTAAGTCTTGTAACTCTATAAAATTATATTATAATAATATGTTACCTAATTATTCAACAAATTCGACCACGTCCACTAAGAATAACATCCTTAGATCACACTTAGATGTTTATTTTTAAAAATAATTTGCCCCTTGCCAGTATTTCAAAACATTTACTTGTTTGCAAGTTTACAAAGCTATTACTTGTTGTTGGAATTAGAACTCATAATCCGCAACTAGGAAATTAGACACGCTAACCTCTACGATATAAGGTAGAATGAATATAAGCCTGCTAATTATAAGCACGATGGAAATTTCAATATATATATAACATTATAGTGCCGTGTCGCTTTTTTTTCTGTCATAAGATGTAACGATTATGCAAAAAAAATACCGACAACACCGAAGTCAAAGTTGTAATGGCAATTCTTATAAGCATACGAGTACGAAAGTCTTTGTTACATTTATGCGATATTCGTTGAAATTTCTTGAACAAAGGAAAATTATATTTCCGATATTCAAGCGATTGGAATCAGGGACGCTCGCCTGAATGTCTGAATATGAAATAGGTACAATAAAACTTGCCGTTTATACTTCAATTGATAATAATACAATACTATTGTCCAATATCGCAATAAACATTTATTGCGACATACTTAATAACTTGAAGCCCGGGTGTTTAAAGTGTACATTTAAAACATCCGTGTTTTAAGTACCTATGCCCGTTAAAGTTAACCAGAAAACGTTGATTACACAAGAGCAGCTTAATGGCTTCATAAAAATAATAGAAAAACTCAATTAGAGTTGGTGTGTCACTTCAGACCTTCTACACGAGCGCAATAACTAAAATTTACTAAAATATTTTGACGTGACTTACTGTCTTTAAATTTGTTTCCTTAATGAGAGGCAATTTAGAAAACTGATGATAACAAAATCGGGAGATACAATTTGGTGTTGCACTTACATATATATCATCTACATCCAAATTTTAATAACACCACTATATGATATGATAGCTCAAGGATCAAAGACTTCGTTACGTTGAGTGAGGACTGTGACACGTCGTACGCGGTGTGGTGGGGAGCGCCGCCATTTTGAAATCGTTTCGTTACGTGCATCGTGCAAGTATTCACGTAAAATACACGGTCGTGTCCACGCCACAGCCACACACCGATTTTTCCTTTTTGTAGTAGTAAAGTGACAAACGAGCACACAAACGAATTGGGCACGGCATGACTACCTTCTGGTGAGAGCATGCTGTGGTCCATAGTCACCGGCATTATTTTTAATAGAATGTAGAAGACAAACGAGCACATAGTCCATTGACAACTACATCCATCCTCCATTAAGAATCAAAATGCAGATGCGTTGTCATGCGATGCGCGAGGACTAAGATAAAATTCCTTATTACCAGCAAAAGGGTTTCCGATTCTCGCCACTTACCATATGAAACTTTTTGTTATAGCGCCATCTTAATTATAGCACCATTTATTGAAAGTTATAAGAACTTTACGGGTTACACACATAGTCATATAGCTTTAACAACTTTTGGTTTTTAATTAATTGATAATATAGATTGCGGATAAAATACCTGAAATAAAACGTTATTCGAAAAAGTAAAAGCACTTACGGTGATGTAGGCGCCGTAGTGTCGCGGCCCGTCGGTGAAATTGACCGGGTGCAAGATGTTGATGTCGGTGGCGAGTGAGTCCGGCCAGCTATCGGGCACAACCGCGTCCGGAGCCCCGAGCTCCCAGTACACCTGTCGGACAATACGGATACATATAGTTCGCACTGCAGCACGCACGCCCTCACCATTTATATACACGTCGCATCGCACGCACTCAAGAACGCAAAAACGCACATATGCTTACACATCCATATGTTATACACATAAATAGCACTGATAACCTCCAAATTTTAACGTCCCTTTTTATGTTATAATAGTACATGCCGGAGGTACTATTACTATAGACATAATTAACCATAGTGGTTAATCTATACAAATAAATAAAATTGAAATGTCTGTTTGTAATGTCAAAATTCCAGCTTTTTACTGAATGCATATGAAAGTATATACGGTACTAATAACAAACATACAATTTTTAAAGTTTTTGTCTGTCTGTCTGTCTGTCTGTCTGTCTGTCTGTCCGTCTGTCTGTCTGTCTGTCCGTCTGTCTGCCTGTTTGTTCCGGCTAATCTCCGAAACGTCTGGACAGATTTGACGGGATTTTCACTGGTCGATAGCCGATGTCACAAGAAGTAACTTAGGCTACTGTTATTTTACGAAGGCGGCACTGAAAATATCGGGAATCAAGGAAGTTACACAACATTACTATTTAAAAATGTATTTATTGCTTTTCGAAGTATTCTCCGCGAAATTTGACACATTTTTCCATACGATGGAACCAATAATTGAAGCAACCATTCCATTCGGAAGTTGGGGTCTCCAAAATGGCCGTTTTGTAGGCGTCCACAGCTTCTTCAGGTGATGAAAATCTCTGTCCACGCAATTTATTCTTTATTTTAGGGAAAGTATAGAATTCATTAGGGCTTAGGTCGGGGCTGTACGGCGGATAGTCTAATAATTCTATGTTTTCTTGCTCTAAAAACTCTTTTGTTCTGTGTGCGGTATGAGAACTCGCATTGTCGTGATGGAGGATGATGCGTCGGTTGCAGTTCTCTTTACGGAGTTCGGAAACGACCTGTGGCAAACAAATGCTAGCATACCATTCTGCATTAACCGTTCTTTGTCCCTCAAGAGGAATAGTCGTAACATGGCCGGTTTTGGAGACAAACGTGGCCACCATTTTTTTTGCAACACTCCATGAACGAACAATTTTTATTGGCTTTAACTCATTTTCGAACTCCCAAACTCGTGACTGGTTTTTTGTTTCGGGTTCGTACGCGTATATCCAGGATTTGTCACCTGATACGATGTTGTATACAGCATTTGAGGATCCTGCGTAGAATCTTTCGAGAGTTCTGACGCACCAAGTAACGCGAGCCGCTTTTTGCTCTTCACAGAGCGAATGCGGTATCCATCGGGAAAACAACTTTTTTACACCTAATTGTTCATGCAAGATTATTTGTATTTGACTCATGCCAATGTCTAAAGTTGCCTGAATTTCGCGGTATGTCACATGTCGATCTTCCTCAATCAGCTTACGCACAGCATCAACGTTTTCTTGGGTGACTGTAGTTTTTGGACGACCTTGACGGGGATCATCACTGAGCTTGACACGTCCACGTTGAAATTCAGCAAACCAGCGATAAATTGTGGTTTAGGATGGGGCTTCATTACCATATGCTGAAATCATCCGGTCAACACACTGTTTTTCTGTTAAACCACTTCGAAAGTCATAATAAATCATCGCTCTTGAATTTTCTCGAGTCAATTCCATTTTCTCAACGACTAAACAAGTTTGACAAAACCTTGTGATAAGACCGAGAATTTTTTTAAAATAAATAAATGGTATTCCATTTTTAAAACCAAGGAGTTTTCAATTAAAAAGATTTTAATATGACAGGAACAGTGGAAATATTCCATTCCCGATACTTTTAGTGCAGCCTATGTAGAAAAAGAATTAGGGTTCGATAGGATAGGGTAGGATATGATATCCGACTTGAAATGTGGTGAACAAGGATTATAATTATACAAGTAAACTTAGTTTATAATTTCATTTCAAAAATAGGTACGGATTTGTAGCACAAAATTAAGATTTAAACTAAAAATAACCACAGAATTAATTACAGTGCTTCTTTCTGCAAAATAATTTATATGAATTACGATAGCATTGGCAATTGTGCAAATACAAGCGGCATGCTGAAAGTCGCCAACTCATCTTTTCACATTCGGTAAACAAAGCCATGAAAACAAAATTCAAAATGCTGGCTGACGGATTATAATTTTGCTATGCGCCATTTTGAACAATAAAACATATGGGCTAAAAACCCTCCAGTATTATTTTGAGATAATTTCAAAAACAAACAATCACAATACAGCCGAGAAAGTATCCCTTAGGATCCTTACTCGGTTTGCTGGAGCCATCATTCGTTTACATAGATGAGAAAGAAGCGTGCTGAACTCTTAGTCAATCTTAAGCTATTTTGTACAGACAGATCTCTGGAACAGCAGAACTCCACACATTAACATTTTGAACAAAATTTATGAAGAAGTACCAATCCTGAAACCCAAAAACTGCAGGATTTCAAAACGGATCCTGTTTGTTAACAAGTGGTAAAATAACTCAAAAACTACTGGTCAGGCCTTGATCAAATTGAACATAAGAAGCACCAGCTTTTAAATATAAAAAGAATCATCAAAATCGGTTCGCCTATAAAAATGTTATGAACACATAAAAAACATTTAAATATACATTCGAATTAAGTACCTTGTCCTTTGAAGTCGGTTAAAAAGTATAAAATTCAATTACACAAGCTGAAGTGACAATGGGCCCACCAAATAGATCGAAGAATGAAGCACCGACAACTGATGAAGAACAAAGGTAAGCGAAGTGTAGGAGGCTTTCACTAGATGGAGTGACGATCTGTCAAGACAAGCAGAATGTCGATGGATGCAAGTGGTTCAGGCCCATGTTTTGTGGTATTCCTTGAGCGTGAGTGCCTATATTCAGCAAGCAGAAGGTATGTAATGATAATTATGATACGAACCTCTACTGTCTGAAAATCAGAACTTAAAAGTTCCACCGATGTAAATTAGTTTTTCATACTAAGTCAGGTACTGGTACCTATATAAATACTATGCATCCGCAATACCGTTTGCCGGAGCGACTGTATGGGAATAATTGAACCAGTTCAGGATCAGGAAGGTAAGGTACTACAGTCAGTGAATAGCAATGATATAAACACCGACTTATACTTGAATTCTACCAGCGGCTAAAATAAGTTAGTAGTTTCAAGGTCATAACCCTTTAATGAATAAAGGGTTACAGCAGATCTAGGGGCAATGATGCGGCCGATGAACTCGCCCCGAATAGTTTAGCCATCGGCATTAGAAACAATGGGACCTAAAACCACCATTGCATTCCCCTTCGAGTACATAAGGACAGTAGTACGCAATTGTACCCAGTAGCAACATACGCAATTGTGCCCAGTAGCAGCAACATACTAAGTCGTACGCAGTAGCGACATTCACAATCGTAACCAGTAGCAACATACACAATCGGTATCCAGTAGACACATAAACAATCGTACCCAGACAATGGACCACGACCGGGGAGAAATCAGGCGCATAGCCAACGGGTTTACGTGCTTTCCGAGGCATGAGAATAAAACACTGCCAACTTCCTGACTCCGGGCTGACACACTTAATAACTGATTTTTTTTTCAGCTAGGATTCGAACCCGAAACCTCATGATCAGCAGTGGTGTTTATGAACACTGGACGAACGTGGCACTAAAAAAGTTTACAGCATTTGTGTCACTATCGGATCATAAAAACAAGGGTAATATGTCAAGAATGCGTTACAACGCGTGACGTATTTATATGTGCAAAAAGATCATACAACTCAGACAACGCTGTGATTGCTTTCAAACGCACTTCAGGCACCATCTGCGAAAGAGCTTCATATTTAACAGTCGAAATAGAGGTTTGTAGTGAAAAAGTGTCCAAAAACAGAAGTACTGATAAAACTTTTAAACTGACATAATTAACAAAGAACAGTTCAAAAGTTTAAATTATGTATCTTCGAATGCAAAGCGTAGTGATGTCCGTTCGCTTGCCGAGAACGCCGATATATTTTATAATGTTAGCCACTTTATGCTTTAAAATATCCAGCCATGAGTGGAGAATAATACAGGTATAAAACAATATTACAACATATATTTTGATAAAATCCATAGAGCCTATGGATACATTGAAATAGATGTTGTAATATTTTTATGTCAAATACTCCAGTCATTCGAGCACTAGAAAGTACAAAGTACAACGCAGGATTAGTTATCCTGTAAGTCTTAATCGGTGTCATGATTTTGACCGTTGTGGTAATTTTTTTAATACAGCACAACGGAATAGTTTAATAGGACAAGATAACACAAGTAAAAAACCGGCCAAGTGCGAGTCGGACTCGCGCACCGAGGGTTCCAAACGCAAGCGCAAGGTATGTATCTACTATCGCCTAAAAATTAAAATTCCAACGTTTTATCCAATAAAATCGTATCTAGCAATCATATTATACATATAAATGATATAAAAAGCACATTGTTAGAAAGATAAATGATTGTTGAACTTATTAATATTTTTTTTAAATCGATTAATTCCTATTTTTAAATAAAAAAGGGGTTTTAGTGACTTATGGTGTGGATTTATCATGTCCCCAAGGCTTGTAAATACGATATCTTTTGAAAATATCAATTGTTTAACTCAATCTATTATTTAATCTCTTCATCTATCATGTGGGAACCCACTGTTTGTAAATGGAAGTGTAATTTTGTCTTCTTTAGCTATAATTAATTTTTTTCGGCTCCATAATGGCGAAATGTTCGTTGATTTGGTAGCCTTGTATGTAAATTATTTCTGTAAATGGGGAGCTACAGCCACAAAGTAGTTTAGTTCAGTCGCCGTCGTGAGTGGACATTGTTTCGGTTGTTTGCAGCGGCTCAAAAAGATCGCTGTACAAATACACAATATTCGAATAACCAAATTTCTTAAATACTTCATTATAATAATAATAACAGATTTTTTTTATTACAATATTTTAAAAGCACAGAATAAATAATAGTAGTACGTACTAAAAGTAAG